GAGTTACGCCCGTTTTTCTTGTACCGGCTCGCCTGCTAGGTAGGCAGCCCATTGTACGCTGCCCGCCAGATTCAAAAGACAACCCTGTCTGGACAGAGGGGTGGTTTCTGGCGGAACCAAAAGTAGTTTTGTGGTTCCCTGGTTCATCCCTGTCGATTCGACTACTTTTCCGTCAAAATCCGGACCCATCAATTTGCGTTAAAAATGGGAAGGCCATAGCCTTTGTAAATTTGGCCAAAAATGAAAAAAATAAAATCGCTGGAAATGGCCGGGATTGGTCCGACAGCATCCTCTTTCAATGTCCCCGTCGTAATTTTAAGCCGTCGGGCCATTTCAAGTGAGTTACGCCTGTTTTTGTTAGACCGGCTCGCCTGCTAGGTAGGCAGCCCATTGTACGCTGCCCGCCAGATTCAAAAGACCATCCCTTGAAACTCAAGTTTCTGTGGACAGGGGTGGTTTCTGTGGTCCCCTGGTTCACCCCCGTCGATTCGACTACTTTTCAGTCGAAAGCCGGACCTACCCATTTTCGCTAAAAACACAAAGGCTATAGCCTTTGTAAATTTGGCCAAAAATGAAAAAAATAAAAATAGCTGGAAATGATTGGAATTGGTCTAGGAGAGTCGACTTTGACCACCTCTGTCGAAATTGCATGCTTCCTGCCTCTTTTGCATCCTGTTTCTTCGACTACAAAATTGCGTATTTGGTTTGTTGCAGGAAGATTATCGGCCTGGAGGTGCACCTGGACATCAGCAAAGCAGCCTATGTGTCACCTGCTGTATGCTGAGTTGGAGTTGGAGCACACATGATTGCATGAATGAATCTGGTAAGTTTTGACTTTCAATGTGATGTTAACATAAAATACCAGTGCATTTATGGTAGTCATGTTTGGTAAAAGTTTATTTTCGTATTGTTTCTATTTGGGGGTTACTTGTCATTCCTTTACTGCTTATTCTCATTCCATAATTATGGCTTATTACTTGAGCCTAAAATATATAGTCGTGTTAGTGCGGAACTGGAGGCAAATCATTAGTAATCTTTGACAGTGATGCTGCTATTTATTTCATTTGTATGGTACAGTTGTAGTAAAATAGGAAGTGATGCTGCTTCTTATCCAAAGGGATGTGCCTGGGCCTGGACTTGATGCTTACCACCTGTAACATAGAAAGTTCATTCGATGAGTTGGCGTCACAGTGATACAGATGGACCAGAACATGTTTGAGTTGGACTCTGAGATAATTTGAATTTAACTGAAATTTTTTCCATTCTTTTTCAGGTATTTAGATTCGCCCAAAGTCACCAGCAGAAACAAGCCGGCTAAT